CTCCATCGCCCCCCCTCCACCCCGCAGATCAGACCCATCGATCAACGCACTTTGGCTGAGATTTTGGCTAAAAATAAAACTAGACCTCTAATGTAGGCCAGCCCATGGTAGCTTCGAACGCATTTGAACCGCGGTCGCAGCGCTGCGCCCCAGCGGGAGACCACAAGAACCGTAACACCGTGAACACCGTAACACCGTGAACACCGGAACACCGTGAACACATCACCGTGGTTTTTTTTTTTTTTTTGGTTTTTTTTTTTGTCTTGGAAAAAAACATCCTTGAATCTCCGAATGAGGAAACTCCTATAACATCTTAACATCACTCTTCCTCCTCCTCCTCCTCCATCACTCTCGTACAACATCATCCCGTGACAACAACCACATCCAGAGCACAACAGCGGCGAAGAGCGCAGGTTGATGCGGAACATTTATTTACCTTTATGTCTGCCTTTCGCTGTCATCGTCACAATGCTGGATGTTTCATTGGAACAAGATGCTCATCTCTCTATCTCCCTCTCTCCCCCTCTAACTCTCTCTCTCTCTCTCTTCCCGTGTGTTTGTGGATGTGCGCGTGTGTGTGCCTCCTCTACTCTCTCTCTCTCTCTCTCTCCCTCTCTCACTCCGTTGTGCCTATGTAGAGTATTATTCAGTAACACGAAACCACCACCAGGGGTGTATCGCATAATAAATGGAGCTCATGCACCACATGAACGGTTGCCAGGTCTGTTTGTTTTATGCAACTTTGATCTTGTTTTCAGAAAAACTGTAATTCAGTTACTGCAGGTTGCCATTTGGGCTTGAGTAGAAAAATGACTGCTAACTTTGACTCACTCGTGTTTGTAGAGTCTGTCAACTAAACTGAAGTGGCCAGTTTCTCCAGTCCTGCCCTCCCCCACCCTCACCCTCACCCCCCCGTTCCCCCCCCCTTCCGTTTTACGCCAGGAAAAGTACATTTATTTGCAACTGTCGCGCAAGTAGGCAACATGTGAAATAAGATGGAATTAGCCCGGATCCAGCTTCAAGTGAGAGAGGATTCTGAATCTGTTTACTGTTCTTATAAAATACTTTTTTTCTGTGTGTGTGAATCACAAATCATGCAGATTCTTGATCTGTTAAAGTAAAAGTCAGTGTTTCCTACAGTGATTATTCTCTCTACTCTTCATAGTGAGGCACCACGGGTATAGTTACTATTATTTTATTTTAGTAACCTTGTTGCTCTTTTCTCTGGCGAGATCTGGCAACCCAGAGCACAGGGTGTCGCACAACAGCTGTGGCTGTGCACAGAGGAGGAGAGACATCCCCCGGCAGAAAAACGAGGCACTACCTAGTGGAGGGCTGAATTTCTGATAGAATATCAAGGGGAAGACCCTGATTATGGCAGTTCTTTTTACCCCCCCCTCTTCCCCCTCCCCCCCCGTCATCCCACAACACACACACACATATAAACACGGACACCCCACTCCACTTCATCACCATCTCCGTTCCCTTCAAAAGGCTAAGCCATGCATGGTCACTCGCCAGTGAGACGGGCTTCTTTTATTATAAGGCTCTAGAATAATCCACGGACGTGGTGTCAGAAAAAGGGAACATGCGACTGTGAGAGAGCAGCGGTGATGGAGGAACATAAAATAAAATTAAAAGGTCGAGTGAGAGCAGAACCGTTGACGCGCACTGGCCGTGCAGGATAATCGTGCATGCCTACATTTGATCAGCCGGTCCGCGGCACTGGAGCTGCTGCAGTCGGACATCCTGGAGTCGGGACGGGGACAGGAGCCGTGAGGGAAGCGGGAGTGGGGGACGAGGAGGAGGTGGAGGAGGCTCACGCTCTCTCTCTCTCGCTCACTCACACACACACTCTTATCTTTCTAGCTATTAATCCCTCTCTGCTGTCAAGGGCCGGGGCTGCGGCGGTGTCAGGTCCTCCTCCTCCTCCGGCTGGCGTCGAGGATGTGAGCGGTCTCTGAGTGGTGCTATCCCCGCTGCTGCAGTGGTGGCATCACTCGGTGGAGTCTCCGTGCTCTCTCGGACAGGGGAAGCCTACTACTGCTGCTGCTGCTGCTGCGCCCGCAGTGACTTTGGGGGAGGATAGGCGGAGACCTTGCTGCTGCTGCTGCTGCTGCTGTTGCTACTGCTGCTGCTGCGCCTGCAGTGACTTTGGGGGAGGATAGGCGGAGACCTTGCTGCTGCTGCTGCTGCTGCTGTTGCTACTGCTGCTGCTGCGCCTGCAGTGACTTTGGGGGAGGATAGGCGGAGACCTTGCTGCTGCTGCTGCTGCTGCTGTTGCTACTGCTGCTGCTGCGCCTGCAGTGACTTTGGGGGAGGATAGGCGGAGACCTTGCTGCTGCTGCTGCTGCTGCTGTTGCTACTGCTGCTGCTGCGCCTGCAGTGACTTTGGGGGAGGATAGGCGGAGACCTTGCTGCTGCTGCTGCTGCTGCTGTTGCTACTGCTGCTGCTGCGCCTGCAGTGGCTTTGGGGGGGGATAGGCGGAGACCTTGCTGCTGCTGCTGCTGCTGCTGTTGCTACTGCTGCTGCTGCGCCTGCAGTGACTTTGGGGGAGGATAGGCGGAGACCTTGCTGCTGCTGCTGCTGCTGCTGTTGCTACTGCTGCTGCTGCGCCTGCAGTGACTTTGGGGGAGGATAGGCGGAGACCTTGCTGCTGCTGCTGCTGCTGCTGTTGCTACTGCTGCTGCTGCGCCTGCAGTGACTTTGGGGGAGGATAGGCGGAGACCTTGCTGCTGCTGCTGCTGCTGCTGTTGCTACTGCTGCTGCTGCGCCTGCAGTGGCTTTGGGGGGGGATAGGCGGAGACCTTGCTGCTGCTGCTGCTGCTGCTGTTGCTACTGCTGCTGCTGCGCCTGCAGTGACTTTGGGGGAGGATAGGCGGAGACCTTGCTGCTGCTGCTGCTGCTGCTGTTGCTACTGCTGCTGCTGCGCCTGCAGTGGCTTTGGGGGGGGATAGGCGGAGACCTTGCTGCTGCTGCTGCTGCTGCTGTTGCTACTGCTGCTGCTGCGCCTGCAGTGGCTTTGGGGGGGGATAGGCGGAGACCTTGCTGCTGCTGCTGCTGCTGCTGTTGCTACTGCTGCTGCTGCGCCTGCAGTGGCTTTGGGGGGGGATAGGCGGAGACCTTGCTGCTGCTGCTGCTGCTGCTGTTGCTACTGCTGCTGCTGCGCCTGCAGTGACTTTGGGGGAGGATAGGCGGAGACCTTGCTGCTGCTGCTGCTGCTGCTGTTGCTACTGCTGCTGCTGCGCCTGCAGTGGCTTTGGGGGGGGATAGGCGGAGACCTTGCTGCTGCTGCTGCTGCTGCTGTTGCTACTGCTGCTGCTGCGCCTGCAGTGACTTTGGGGGAGGATAGGCGGAGACCTTGCTGCTGCTGCTGCTGCTGCTGTTCTTGTTGTGGCATGCTTGGATCTTGAACGTGTTCTTGGAGCGGGGGCGGGAGGGCGGGGGTGCTGGTGTATTGGTGATGATGATGGATGAGGGTGACGACGGAAGAGGGAGGTGTACGTTATAGGGGCTGGGGGTAAACTGTGGAGGTTAGAGGGAGATTAGAGAGAGGACAAGAAAGAGACGTCTTGGAGAGAGGCGTATGTGCGCAGCGCCGTACGGGGGCGACTCCCCCCCCCCTCCCCCCTGGAAAGTCGAAAAAGGAACTCCCACGCACAGTCACGCTCAAACACACTATATATTAACATATATAGTATTACCACAGTGGCCTAACTGTATACAGCGTGCGCACTCGGACGTATACTGCCACCCTGTGGAGACATTGATTACTGGGCTTTCCCCTCCTCAGCTGCCCTGCTCTGTAGTTCGTGCCCTCAGACTGTACAGTAGACCACATGGGCCAGTGAATCTGTGCAGTGTGAAACATAATAAAGGCTCGAGTCCCATTTTATTCCTATACAAACAACCGTGATTGAACAGTGATCAGGAAATTATTAATGCGTTTATTAAATCCACAACTTTTACCGTTATCTACTACTAAATATTAGACGTATTTTTTAATAAATATTATAATAAAAATAATAAATATAATTCCACACAACTACTAAATATTAGTCGTATTTTCCAATACATATTATAATAAAAATAATAAATATAATATTTTGCTATACTAATAAAAACATGCAAAAATATACATATATTTCCTGATAACATACCTGTATAAATACTCTTTATAATAGCGTGTATCATAACATCAATCCTTATAATGTAAAATATAATAAACAGTGACGACTTGAATGTTTTGCTCAAATAAACCAATATAAACATGCAGTTTACTTCACGACATTGGAATTATGGGAAATGTATTATTTATCTAGTCAGTATCTATAGAACTTGTCTACTTTGTAGGAACAGCTCACTGTATGTTCAGCGCATTTGTAAATGATACGTTTCTCGAGATCCGGTAATAAATGTGCCTTTCATTAGCTCGAGATGGTTCCTATGATCGTCTGTGATCTCGCTGCCGTTACATGTATATCACTCCGCGATGGAATCTTGCGTGATTAAAATAAAAAAAAGATCAAATATCGATAACAAACCCGAGATGGGTGGGCAAATGTAAATAAAACCAATCGTGATGTCAGTATTAAGTGAACGGTGATCTCCCGACGTGAGTTAACCGTGTTACGGTGGCTAACTGAGAAGGCTAGCTCGTGTAACCGTACACGCGACGCCATTTTGGTTCTTTAGAGTCAACGCGAATGGAGACCCGCAGCCGCATGTTCAGAGCCACAATGGCGACAGTTGCAGCAGTGCAGTGCAGTGTCGATACATGCGCATGGCGGAGTGTTTCAGCGGCAGCGCACAGCGGCATCACGACCCAACAATGAAACTTCCGCTTATAGCAACCGCTTTCACAATAAACAGTGCCATTAATTTAGTTTTGTCTTCAAGCGTGAGTAAACGCTTTAAGTCGCTTTAAAGTTATGATAAGGAAGGAAGTGAACAAAATACAATTAATACTAGTATTTAGATTTACCCGTACATTTAAAGAAAATGACTTGAACAAACACTGGAACTTAGTATGAAAGTTCTCTCTATATAGATTTATACACAAAGGACTAAACAGAATCTGGCAGAACCCCAGCTAAGTTTCTTTTAGAAGCCAAAATTGATCATTACCCAGCCCAAAGACACAAGAACTTGTTAACGTGTCTGCCACATAATGTGTCGGTAGAGACTGTTCCTCCAGATCACACCTGACAGTACAGTTTCTCACACCACAATGTCACATTGCTGTGTCAAATTCAGCACGCCCATCACCTATCTCTGAGTGCTTGTTTTTTTGTTGTTTTTTTCTGGATGGCTAAAGGGAATCATACATTTTAGAGTTGTTTTTTTCCTGCATGGCTAAAGGGAATCATACATTTTAGAGGAGATATCTATTGTTTTGACTTTTTGCTTTTTTTGACACCCCTCACCAAACAACAGTTAGAAAGAAAACTACAGTTCAAGCCCATGATTTGTTCATGTTGTCCCACAGTTCAGTTGCTGTCAATCCCACCTGGTTAGTCTAGTTCTGTCTGATTGTGACTATACCACCCCCACTTCACCTGTGACTTCACAACCAAAACAAGGCTGCAGCAGTGCCCTGCTGCCTCCTTTTTTGTACTGTTCCAAGGTTGCTTGTTGCATGTATACTATTCTGCCACAGTTAATCTTGTGAAAGCTAGTTCATGTTGCATTCCTACTGTGATAACATTGGGAGCACAGAGCACAGTCTAAAAATATCCCTGCATAGATTTCACCCTCAACTGAACTCAAAATTGAACACTGAACAAAATTTAATTTTTGATAATAAGGATTACTGGTTGGAACCCGTGTGATAACTGATGTCTTTCTGCATGAAGTGTCTTTATTGTGCAATGTCCCTTCATTTCTAATGAACACGGAAGGAAGGAACATGAGCATATGTTCGAGTGAAAATGTTTGTCAACAACTATATGTGACCCAGTAATACAGTACATACATAAGTAATAAAGGTAATAAAGACACTATAACACCACAGTATAGGTTGGTTCTGCAACTGAATACCACAGCCTCAGCAATGTCACATGTACTTTGATGAAAACACTTTTAGTGCTTTAGACTTTTTTAGATTTTTAGAGTTTAGAACATGAAAGGATGAGATCTCATCTATACACTATCTGTACTTTGTGTACTATGTTTTGTGCTCTTCTGATCGAGACTTATGAAATAGGAGACATGCGGTTGTTGTTGAAAATGGTCGAGAGTTAACACATTTATTTGTCATTCAGTATTCAGATTTGTTATTATTTAGTTTTTGTTGATATATATATGTATATATATGTATATATACATATATACATTCATATAAATCCAGGGTCTTGTGAGAGGGGCTTTTATTGTGAAGGGTGAGCCCTGGCTCTGCTGTGTTGGTGCTGCTGGTTGGAGCTGGAGCACAGGCCGCAGTGATTTGGTAGCCGCTGCAGTAGGAGGAAGGACCGCGGTTCTACCCTCTCTATATCTTTCACTTTCGCCTCGAAATCCTCTCAGAGGTTCCTTGTTGAAGCGACCAGTACACTGAGCACACAACACCGTGTTCTATGTTAACTGAGCCCTAGTTTTCAAGACGGACAGTGATATCCATCGCCATTTTAATCGCACGTTTCCCCTGACAGAAGCGCTAGCACAACAATGGCTCTGAAAAGAATTCACAAGGTAAGGAAATGAACGACGATTTCGCACGTTTGTCTATGCATTTTAGCTTCACTTGTGCTTCGCACTCGTTCCCCTAATGGGTTTTGTCAAAGCGCGAGTAACTGAGAGGGTTGAGTCCAGATATTTCTGGTGGTGTTTCGTCGGTACACCTAACGGTCTGTGAATAGCGGGTGACGACAGTGAGAGCAGCAATGCGCCGCTATTCGGTGTTCGTTCTCAATTGCCGCTACTAACGGGCCAACCTAACCACTCGCTTACAGTGAATTGGTACCTCGGCGGTTACAACTCTTAAGTCTCACACTACATACCGATTCATTTACACACACACACACCAGAGCTAAAGGATCGTTTTAACCGTGACTGATGCTGGTATACGACATTAGCCGTGTTAGCCTCTCCTGTCCAGCCGTATCTGCCCGGTGGCTAACACGGTTAAAGCTATATGGTTCTGTATGTTCTGGCTAATTACATTAAACCTATACATTTTGAGTTTGTCAGTGTAATAATTGTATTGTGTAGTTCTGTTATATTTGGATGACCCTTTTGGTACGTTACTTCAAAACGAATCTCTATGGAACTTTATTTTTTTTAGTGTGAATTATATTGCTCCTGATTTGACAGATAAGTTAACTAGCTAGCACCCAAGCTAGTGTTAGCTCATGTGAAGGAGACGAATACTTTTGCAACAAATGTTGCCTTTTCTCTCCCGAATGTCTGTTGTCGATGTTTTAAAACAAATAGTAGGGTATATATTTGGTTATCATACAATAAAACACCTAAACACACGGTCTGCAGTACTAAGTGACCCACTGTTGTATTTTTCATAGTACTAAAATCGTGTTATTGAACATTTTTGTAACAGAATGTAAGCTCTTTTCATTCTTTGTTACTGGTATGATGTTCATTCGTCAGAAGAATAAAGACGAGAGAAAATAAGTAATGAGATGTTAGCAGTGACTGGTTGTGTAGAGAACGGGCCCCACGCATTGCTCGGTTTTGATGTCATGTTGCTGACAGCAGGCGAACACCCCGTTAGATGAAACAATTGTTTTTTTGTTTGTTTGTCAGTCGGATGTTCTCTTTGTGGATATTCGTTGTTTTTTGGCTATTAAATATGCCAATATAATTAGACGAAATACAGCGACAGAACCTGACATGTCGTTCTATTTGTTCCGAGAAGCTAGCATTTGCTGCTAACAGTGGGACCGCAGTGTTACAATGGGCTTCACATAGCTTAGCTCACAGACGGACAGGTCAACAGATTGTCCAACCCGATCAATCTCTTTGCATCATTTTATCGTTTCCTCTGCTTCTACACACAGAAAAAAAGTTTTAATCGGGGTCACAGCAGTCACGGGAACCCGAGTTTGGTGTCGTTTACTAGGGTAGACGAGAGCTGTGTCATAATTGCACCCGTTTTTAGTGCATAGGTGG